TATGGACGGCGCCATGTTTAAATTCAGAACGCTGTTGCCTCAGGTCTGACGTCAAACCCAGCTTCATTTCAGGTAGCTTGAAAGCTGCATAAGACACACTGAACTGAAAGCGACAGCATATGGAGCAGCTCAGAGTATTTATTTATTTTTTATTGTCCCATCTCTTCCAGCTAATCCTGAGTCTGCCTCAGGTGGAAGCCTGTGCTGTGGGTCTCTATAAAGAATATAGACTCCTTGCCTTCGTCGTTGCTTCAGCTAGCGAAGTCCATCTCCACCAGGGGGAGCCAGAGGGCGCAGGTAGAGATCTCCAGAGGCTCATACTGAAGCAGCTGTCTCTGCTGGTGTCCGCTCACTGCATTCCCGACGCATTGGTTCTTGTCCCGGCTTTATCCCTGACTCCTCATGGTGAGCTTTAATCCTCAAGTTCTGGAGGCTTTTTTAAATAATAATAATAACAATAAAAAAGTTCTAATGTTTGCATTTTACCAGGTAAAGCAGACATGAAGGCTCTGATGAGAATATATGAAAAACAGAGGGAGTGGTTAAGGTCGTCACGGCTGGAGGTCGGAAAGCTAAAGCAAACTCTTGAGACTCTATGGCAGGTATTACCCTGTTTAAAGCTGCAGTATATAACTTTTATAAAACTATATATGTTTTTTTTGTTGTTGTTTTTTTACATATTTGTTTAAGCTGTCACAATGTCGTGGCAGCATAGCATGAGACAAATAATGTGGGAAAAAATCGAGCTCCTCCATCCAAGTGCTACTCTTGTAATCTGCAGAAATGCACCATTTAGGAACAACCAATCAGAGCCAGGGGGAGGATCTTAACACTGCCAATCAGGCTGTAACTTACCTTTACAGGAAATTTGTTTATCTGTCGTCATGAGTGGATATGTCGTCAACAGACTGTGTTGTGGTGAACTAGCTGTAGTCTAGGAGAGAGATAGGCAGATGGTGTGAGCAGAGTACACATGCATGATTGACAGCGCTAAAGCCTGACTCTGATTGGTTGTTTATAACAAAGCGGTGTATTTCTGAAAATGGCACTGGAAGAAGACAGAAGGCTCAATTTTTTCCACAAATGATCTGTCTCATTCTTTACAGCCACAGCATTGTTATAGCTTTAACAAACATGTTGAGAACATATTTTTATGAAAGTTACATTCTGATGACACCTTCTGTCATCAGGATACATTAGGCCTCCCTGCAGATGCGTCCATCGACGAGCGGTCCAACTTCCTGTTTAGTGGAGGGGATTCCCTGAAGGCACTGTGTCTCTGTGAGGACATCCTCGCCGCCATGGGAGTGTCCTCTCCTCGTCTGCTGGAGGTTATACTGGACAGGTCCTTCTCAGAGGTTCTACGCCATGTAACGCAGATGCTGCCGCTGGAACCGGACGGCTCGTCGTCCTCTAAGAAACGGGCCGCTGAGGCTCCATCTGGGGTTCCAGCAAAGAAAGGACCTAGATCTGACCGGACACAGCAGGAAACACTCGGGTGTAAAGTCGTGAGACGAGGCGGCGAGGTGCAAGGAACGAACTTCAGGAGCGTAGATGCTGGTGAAGAAGAACCGCTGGACGGAAAGGACGTCGGCGTTCGCCTCGGTCCGAGCTGGTCCTCGGACACCGGCAGGTGCGTGGACGCCTCCCCGGTGATTCTGGTCCGGGACGTCGCCGACGAACAGTCCAGAGCTACGGTGTTCATCGGCTCCCACTCCCACAGGATCCAGGCGTTGGACCTGGCCGGCGGGAACCTCCTGTGGGAGCGAGTCCTCGGGGACAAGATCGAAGCGTCGGCCGCCGTGTCTCACTGCGGCTCCCTCGTTGTCGTCGGTCAGTGTCGGTTCTCCGAGTGTTTCTCTGACGCGTTTGTTCTTCTGGATCACTCCAGCTTGCCGCTTTTCAGGTTCCTACGACGGCTGCGTTTACTTCTTATGCACCGACTCTGGAGAGACGAAGTGGGTGTTTAAGACGGAGGACGCGGTGAAGAGTTGTCCTGCTGTGGACCCTTTCACCGGCCTGGTGGTGGTGGGCTCACACGATGGACACGTTTACGCCCTGGACCCTCAGGTTAGTGTCCACTTGTTTGACTTTTTGATTGCTTGAACTCCTCTGTTAGTTTATATGTGGTCGTTGTCTTTCACCATTTGCTTTTCACTGCACTAAAGCTTAATGGAGGTGAATGAAGATGTGTGTCGTTGCTGTTTAGCTTCGGCGGTGTGTGTGGAAGCGAGACTGTGGCGGCGGAGCTGTGTTTTCCTCGCCGCACCTTGAGTCGTCTCGTCGACGGCTGTATGCGGCGACTCTGGGAGGACGACTGCTGTGTCTCAACATGGTGAGACTCTTGTTTGTGGGAAACTATACATCTGAAATGAGAATTGTTCGTCCGCATTTCTTTAATATTTTGAGATCATGCCTGGAATGCGTAAGAGAGCGTCACCTTGTGTTCGTGTTTGTGTCTCCGCTAGGACAGCGGGGACGTCCTGTGGTCCTACTGTAGAGACAAACCTTTCTTCTCCTCTCCAAACTCGTCCTGTGGACACATTGCGATCGGCTCAGTGGACGGAAACATCTGCTGCCTCAGCGACTCCGGGGAACTGGTGAGGAAATGAAACGTTGACTCCTTTCTTATGCTCTTAGATGTATGTGCTGCAAAAACCCAAAATCTAAAAGTATGTTTGGTCTAATTTCTAGTGCAAATATCTTAGGACACTTGGACCAAACTAACTTACAAGAAGTTTTTCAGTAAGATATAGGGGCTTGTTGTAAGTAAATAATTCCTTAATATGGATGAAGAAGTGCTAGTTCCACTGGCAGATTGTTTCACATATAAAATGGGAAAAAATGTCTAGTTTTAAGTAAGTAAGATTTGACTTATTCCAAATGTCCTAACATATTTGCACTAGAAACTAGATCAAAATTACTTGGTAAGATTTAGTGTTTTTGCAGTGTACTTTTGACTTAACTCTTGAGGAGCTTGTACATTAGGTCATTTTTTCAGTGGTTTAATTAGTAACTTCTAGGATCTACTGTCATGTGAAACAATTAGGATTATCCTGCAGCAGCATGTGTTTGCTAACAAATTTGGGTTCATATCAGTTTGATCAATAAATAAACATTTAAAAGCTGAAGAAAATTATTTCCCATATTGATTGAAATGCCTAAAACTACTTGGACCTGTTTTATAACCAACAGGCTATAAAAACCTGCTATTTTAGTGATAGATTATCCTATAAAGGCCCAAAGCTAATTTTATATTGATGCGTACATCTGTTGTTTTGAAAGTATCTAACTAGTGCACCTCTGTTTTTGGTTGGTTGTTTTTTTTGTCTGCAGCTGTGGCAGTACCGAACAGAGGCCCCGGTTTTCTCCTCCCCGAGCTTCGTACCGGGACAGCAGAGGCTTCTGTGCGGCTCCCACGACGGCCGCCTCTACTGTCTGAGCTGCGCCGACGGCTCTATAGTTTGGACTTTTCAGACATCAGGCAAGGTGTACTCCACACCCTGCGTGTTTCAGGGCTCTGCTGTCGGCCGCAGGGGGGCTCTGGTGGGCCTGGCCTCCACGGATGGCACCGTCTGGATCCTGGACGCACGAGATGGCCGCGTTCTGGCGTCGTCCGCCCTGCCTGGGGAGCTGTTCTCATCGCCGGTTGTGTGGGAACAGTCGCTTGTGATCGGGTGCCGTAATGACTATGTGTACTGTTTGAACCTGACTGGTAATGTGTAGGGGGTCGTGATATACGTCTGCACTGATTATACAGTTCTGTTCAAATAATAATAGTGTAGAAAATGAAGCGAGGAGAGCAGGGAAGTTGACCAAACTTCTGGAAGGTGTAAGTAAAGGATGGGGCTGGTTCCTGACCTGAAACTGAGAAGCTGTTCATTTATTGGTCCGTTTGAGATTACTGTCATAATAAAAAGCTCATTCTGAGGGTATTTCTCTTTAGGCAAAAGCCCCAAAAAAAAAAAAAAAAACTATCAAAAACATGCTGTGGCTTGAATTCAGAGTTTGATCATTTGAGGTTCCTAAACCTTTAAAGTTTATTTTTGGGCCATTCCACCTGCTCGTTTTTTCAAAATGGTACTCTCTAGGCTTCACCTGGGCTTCCTGTAATTGTTACAGTATGGATTACTCCATAACTTATAACTGACTGAATATTGGCAGCATTTGTTTTACATACAGACACAATTTTATTCATTAGTTAAAAAAAAAAAACAATTCTGTTGAACCACTTTTCAAAAGCAATGTCTGATTTAAATGGGTTAATTTTAAGTAAAAATGTATTTGTTACTTTTGTCAGTTTCAAGTTATGTCAGTGGCCATTCACAGAGGGGTACCAACAACTTTGTCTATGTGTACATCTGCTGGTTTTCTATTACTCTGCTACAAATACAAGTAAATTTGCCATATAAAAATTAGCCTCGCTTTCCTGCAATATGTCCGGACTTTCTTCCATTGAAGTTGATTTCTGTTCAATTTCAACTGGGCCAATCAGCAAACAGGAGAAGTTGTGAACGATAACGGTGATTTTCTGCACTGTTTCAGAATTGTAGTTTTAGAAACGGCAGCGGAGGAAATGAACAAAGCCGTTCAGTCCGTGTTGACTACACTTACAAATGCTGAATTAACATTCAAAGCCACTTCATTGGGATCAGCACTTCTCTCCTGGCAGCTAGGATGGTTGTTTACAGCAATTTCCGGTCAAACCGGCGCCTTAGATACGTCACAGGCAAACATTAGCGATTGGGTAAAATGTAAAACCTCAGAGTCCAATGGTTTCTCAATAGCCGAGAGCCCAGAACCTCTGTAAGAAGCAATAAAAATTTTTAAAACAAAAACTGGCTGTTATTTGACAATAACCACAGCAGCCTGTTGGCTCGGTTCAGACATCAGTATTTAATTTACATTATTAATAACATTTTGGATCTGTTAAAGAACTTTCTCGTGAATATCTCTAAGAGGGACAAAAAGTGCAAATAATACCAAACATTTTTTTGTTGTTACAGATAACACTGCGTACACTACACTATTGTGCACGACCAAAGTTAGAAACAAAGCGACTCAGGTTCCTGGGTCTCTTTCAGAGCAAATACATACTTACAGATGATGAAGAGGTTTTGCTGCGTCATACGGGAAACGCTTACATGTTGTGTGATCGGGTCCCAATGAAGAAGTAGTGACGGTGTGAGTCTACAGGAGGACATGCCAGAAGAATTGTAGCAGGTGTTAGGTTTGTCTCTAAAGTCCATTTTCACACAGACGCAGCGCTTAATGTCCTTCACGCCGCGTTTTAAGTCCAGTTTGTTGTTCTGTCACAGTCATCACGGACACAGTGAGATTTATTATTTCCAGTATGACTTGAGAAAAAAAAAAGAAAAAGCACAATATTCCCTCTTTACACAACAAACAAGGCTCAGATAAAAGCTACAATACAGTTTCAGTGTAGATAAACCTGCTGCTGTACATAAATAATACGGAAGAGGGCAGAGGAGGTGCCTTTAACAAGCTTTTCCAGAGGAGCGGCCATGCTGGGTTGTTATTTTTCTCTCTCTCTCTCTCTCTCTCTCTTTTTCTTTTTTTTTACTGGTAGCCCTTAAAACATGATTCAGACGGATACCCTCTGCTGATTAAGCGCTGCTGTTCCTCGGAGCACGGATTGTGTCGAGCACACAATTTATTACAACCATGGTGACCCAGTTGGCTCCTACGTTACAAAATAAAAAAAAAAAGAAAAGGTTGGCTACTGCGGTGGTCAGCCATGGCTGTGATTGGCTGCTGAGGACTTTGTCTTTAGGGGACGTACAATTGGTGTGATTGGATACAATATATGCATGCTCTCATCTGTTTACATATATCTGCGCAGCCTTATTGGTAATTTTTGAAAGTGAAGCGCACTTTAACATGGTGGTTATAGCAGCCAGTGGTGTCTCAATGAGGAGTTTTCATGTGGGCGGGAGAAAGTGATCCTCAGGCTCCGTGGGTTGTGTGCGTTCCCCCATGCATGCCGCGTTAAACTGGCATCGGGTGGTGGGGCTTATTTGATGATCTGTGGACAGTCACTCCAGGCTTTGGCCTTTCGTTTCGCTAGTGCCAGCCAGGCCGGCTCTGTGGACACCTGGGGAGAGTCGCTGGAGGGGAATCGCTTTGACACGTCCTTGACAGCAGGTGGCGACGGTGTGGAGTCTGAGATTTCAACTGGAATAAAAAAAAAAAAAAAGAAAAAGAAAAATAAAAAAGGTGAGTACCACACCTCATCCTTGAAATTCACCCACAAACTTCAGTCTGTTTTACTTAGATTTAATGGAAAAGACCAAGGCAAAAGTAGGTGGTAAAGTGTATGAAGTGGAAGAAAAACATCCTTCAACAGAAAGTCACCATCATTCAGAAATGACAAGAAATTAGTAATAAACAGTTGTATGTTGGGGTCCCTACCTGTGACTGAGCTCGGTAAAGTGCTGGCCTTTTTTAGCGGATCTCTGCGGTCGAATCGTCCTTGCAGGCTGTCAGGTCTTTTGGGCTCCTCAGGAGTCTGAGGCTTGGAGGAAGGACTGGTCCCCCCGCTCTCTCTCCCGTCTGTAGGACTCACCAATGCAACCTGCAGAAAGAATTGAAAACTGTGTCAGGGAGAGTAAAGGACAGTGGGTAAATGGGGATCTGGGCCACATACACTGTCTTTCTCTCTGGCATGCTTCTCTGCTAGCTTGGCCTCTCTTTGGCTTCGACGATCCTCGCGAGTCTGCTGTTGCTCCCTGAAGCCTTTCTGCTTCTGCAGGGCCAGGGTAATCCATAAGGGCCCGGCTTCCTTCTCCTGGACCCGTGCGCTGTCCAGTGAGTGCCTGGCCTGTAAGGAAGGTTTTTCTGCAGAACACACATTTGATTGTTACTGGTACGACAGTAAACAGACTAAGCTTTTTAGTCACAACTACAATTCTAAGCACTTTTACCGTAGAGCCACATTTACAGTTTCATACACGACACAGATCGATAGCAAATTGGAGTTAAAGTGCTTTGTCCAAAGATGGATTAACGTGTGAATCTACAACTTCCCAAATGGCATCTTAGAAACACTACATTTCTTTCCCCATAAACACAGAATGATTTCAGCTAATATACGGCCTGGTCACGGAGACACTGACCTCGCCTGATGAGCTCTGCCTTCCTGTCTGCCTTCTCTCTCCAAGGGATGTTGATGGAGGGGAAGAAAGACCTCTTCTCCTTTGGCTCCTCCTCTAATTGGACATTACTGTGGCTGCCTCTGTGCAGCTGAGTCACTGCTGATGAGTCTTCGCTTCTACTAGCCTGCTCCTGGACGGATAGATCCGGACTACCTGTCCTCTGGATCGCTTCCTCACAGGGGAACCTGTGGGCTACTTTAGGTAGCGGAGAAGGAGGAGGCGTTGGGGTGGCTCCGGAGGGCTTGGGCGATGTTGTTGGTCTTCGGTATAGCGGTGGTTTGGATAGGACTTTCTCTCCTTCGTTGTGCAGGACAGGGCTAGTAGGTTTGCCTAGCTTACCCCGGGTTATGGCAGGAGATGCAGATGCATGAAGGTATTTGCTCACTACTCCCTCTTTCTGAGGCGATGTGGGAGTTGATTTGTCAGAAAAGACGGAGGAGACATCAGAGTCTGGCTCGATTGGAGTGAGAGGTGAAGGGATGCCGTCGAAGCTGTCTCCAGCGCTGTAGCGTTTCTTCCGTTTCTCCGTGGACTGTTCGCTGTGAAAACGCAGAGAGTAGTTTGTCCTTCTCAGCTTTATTCCAAAAGGTGAGGGGTTGTCCTCACCGTCCTGTCCCTGCGCCTCCCCCTCCTCTGTCTTGTTCTGAAGCCGGCTCTTTACTTCGGAGCCCTCAGGTCTGTCCCCGGGGCTGGGAACCAGGAAAGATGGGAGGTCTTTGGCAAACATGCACTCCTCTGAGCCTCTCTCTACAATCCGAACAGTTTTGCTTGTCCGGGTGTGAGGTTTAACGGTTGGAGATTGGGACGCGGCTGTAGGACTGTCAGATCGAACAGCTTCCTCTCCTCCTCCATCCTTGTGATCTGTGCTGAAGACCTCAGAGTTTCTGTTTGAGTCGCCAAACTTCTTCTTTGCAGGGATGATGGAGAACTTGGCACTGGCGGACATTGTTTTTCTGAGGTTGGTGTGAGCAAACGGAGGCTGCTCATCGCCACTGAGTTGAGGCTGATTCCTGCTCGGAGGATCCGGGTACTCATCGTACTTCCCATCCTCGACCCCCTTAAATATCTTTGAGCGGATACTTGCCCACTCCGCCAGCACGGCTGCGCTCGACTGATCCGGGGAGACCGAAGACTCACTGAGAGACTTGGTTTTTCCGGATTTGCGGTCCGGCGAGCTCTTGCCCGTTGCGGAAGGTGTTCCTTGGGCCTTTCTTTCCTCTCCTAAACCCAGTAGGGACTTGCATGCTGTGTCTTTGATCTGGTCTAAATTGACAGCTGTCCCACAGAGCTGGGCGCCTGTCACCAGGATAGCTGTGTGGGGGACATATGGAGATGCCGGCAGGTTGGGGGAGTCTTTTCCATCCTGGGAGGAAGCTGTATCTCCTTCCCTTTGATCAGCGTCCGCAGTGCCCTGATGGCTGGCGGCTGGTGTAACAGGGGTCAGGTTGACCTTCTGGAAGAGAATCTGTTTCTCTCCAGAGGAAACCTTGAAGGAAAAGGGTCTCTGCCGCTCCTCCATCTCCCTCCAGCGCTGCTCCTCGGCTCGCCGCTTCCTCTCTTGTTCATCAGAGCCCCCAGCGGCCTCTTCTGTCAGCATCTTCTTCTGCTCCTCCAGTTCCAGCTGTTTCTTTTGCTCCGTCTCCCTCAGCCTCAGTTTCTGCTCCTCTTTTTTCTTCCTTTCCTCTTCTTGCTTTTTGCGCTTCTCTGCCTCAAGTTTCCGTTGCCTCCTTGCCACTGCCTCCTCTTCTCGCTTCTTCTTTTCTTCTTCCTCGTGTCTCTTCCTTTCCTTTTCCTCTACTTGCTTTTGCTCTTGCAGTCGCCTCCTCTCTTCTTCCTCTTGCCGTTGACGTTCTTCTTGCCTTTTCATTTCCTCCTCCAGCTTCCTCCTTTCTTCCTCTTCCCTGATCCTTCTTTCCTCCTCCTCTCTCCTCAGCCTCTCTGCTTCCTCCCTCATCTTTCTTTCCTCCTCCCTTATTCTTCTTTCAGCCTCCTCTCGCCTCCTCTGTTCTTCCTCTTCTTTCATCCTTCTATCCTCCTCCTCTCTTTGTCTCTCAGCCTCTTCTTGCTTACGTTTTTCCTCTTCTTCTCTGACTCTCCTTTGCTCCTCCTCTTCTTTCCTCCTCCTCTCTGCCTCCTCTCGCATCCTCTTCTCTTGTTCCTCCTGTTGCTTCTTGTGACTCCTCTCTTCCTCCAGTTCACGCAGCCTCAGCTCCTCCGCCCTCTTCTTCCTCTCCTCCATTTCCTCTCTGAACTGTTGCTCCTCCATCTCCCTCCTCCTCCGGGCCTCCAGTATTTCCTCCTCATAGAATCTCTGCTTCTTCAAGCTTTCCTTGGAGGACTCCAGAGATGCTCTGCGCTGGTCAGCTGCCTCCAGCTCCTCCTGCATGACTCCAGGAATAGACACCTCCTGGAGATCCTGGGGATGAAGGGACAGGATTGATTTAAAGTTCTAAGCCTTGGACTTTGGTGGAAAACATCACAGATCAGTGTCTTCCTTACCAGTGTGAACCGCCGGTGTTTGCGGGAAATCCTCTGGTTTTTCGGTTTGACGGAGAGCTTATGCTTGGCGGCGGTGTTGTCCAGGCGAGTGACAGACTGAGGGACGGCGTCTAGATTGATGGACTCAATGGTACCGGTTGGTTGGAGGACCCGTTTGGATCTCGGGGACTTCACTGGCGTGCTGTGCTGCGCAGATGATTGAGCTCCTTGGACCTGCAACAGAAAATGTATTTACAGCAACCTTGCAAAAGTCTCGACACCCCTCTGGCTGATCATTTCATCACTTTGAGGTCACATTTCAATGTGTGTAAGTGAGATTTTGTTGGCAGATCAACAATAAGTTCTGCATAACAGGAAAGTGGAAGGAAACATGATTTATGGTTTTTAAAACTCAAGATTTTAGGCATAGCGCGCATTTGTGTTCACCCCCCTTCACTCTGATTCTCCCAAAATAAAATCTGTAATAACTAGCAGACTTCAAATATGAAAATGCTCAAAATTAAGCTTTTTGACTGAAAACATGTTTTTGCATAAGACTAAACACTTAGACACAGCAAGGGGAAACTTGTCAGAGTTAATAGGACGATTTATCTGATGACAAAGGTGGTTCTACCAGGTTCTAACAAAGGGGTGCCTAAATATAGTCATTCAGATTTCATTTTTTTAAAAATTGTACATTATTTTTCTTCCACTTTACAGTTGGACACTACAATGACTGTGAAAAAAGCCTAAAGTTAATACTTCTGAAACGTAGAAGAGTTAAAATCTACAGCCTACTTTTCCCCCAAACTGTAATCTTCACAATGAAAATCACGTTCAGCCGTTACCTTTGGTTCCATTTTGGGCGGCTCAGCTTCTACGTGGGCCAAAACCTTCAGAGGGCTTCGGGGAACCTCTTCCTCATCTGAGCTTCCCTCATCCCCCTCACTTTTTCGAAGAGAAGGAGGCCTCTGGCCGAACTTTATACCTTGTGCGATCTGCCTCTGTGGTGTGAATAAGTCAGATGTTTTAATCCACTCATCAGGAGCAGTCATGTCGTGTATTTGAGAATACGTTTGGATAAATGTCTCTGAGCAGGGTGTACCTTGACCACAAGCTATTGCATTATTGTGGCTTGAAGTGTCTCCACTCTAATCAGTCATGGTTCATTTAATCTGCTTTGTTGGTTTCCTGGGCACTGATGGGTTTTCAACAAGGATAACAACCCAAGACACATGTCAAAGCTCATTTTGGACTGCATTAAAGGTGACCTACTATGCTTCCTTGAACAGGTTAGGATAGATCTAAGGGCTATACAAAACATGTTTCACTACATATTTTGCACACAATTGTTTCCTAGTTGATGAGATTTTAGTCTGGTCAATTCTGCTCATTTCAAGCTCCTTTCAGAATGAGCTCTTTTAGAGTTTATTGTCACTTTACAACAAATTATTATGCTGCTGGCCTCGCCCAACAGTGAATTTTGGACCCTACAATAGGGAGGTTTTTGAAACGGCTCGTTTTACATACACCAAAAGACATTAATTTATTTCCAAGAACATCTCAAAGTTAGTTTTTTTTTTTAAAGTTCTTGGGTTGTTTTTTTTTTAGAAACAGTAGAAACCAAATGGAATTACAAAACCTGCAAAATGTAACTTCCATAATAGGTTCCCCACTAAGCATTTGAAATTATTCCAATTTTATCCTGATTCAGAATTTATGCACTGTATTTCAAAGCTCAGCAAGCACCCGGAAACATTTCAACGAACTTCAGGTAGCATAGAAAACAGAAGTGAACCACGAGCTTGTTCTTGATGTGGTCTGGTGCAACTTGCCGAGAGACATTTCATCAGATATTAATGGGCATGCACGTGGAATTTTAAACATGCGTGGATCTGTGAAAATCTATGAAAAATTCACCCGTCCTCACTTCTCTGTCCACCCAGTTGTTATTTTTAAACGGATAACTGAAATTATGTTTTTATTCATGCAAATTCAGTCTAACCTCATCAAAGAACAGCTCAGATAAATCCTAAAAAAAGATCGACATTCACGGGAACTGTGAGCGCATGCAAACATCTGAACCTCACTGCATGCATATCTCCACTCTGCAGCGTGCATGTCGAGCTCAGAGAAGTGTAGGATTTTGTGCGAGGACCACCTGAAGGTTCCTAACTTTATCTGAAACGTTTTCCTGGGACATGCTGTGATCCAGACCGAGATCCTCTGGCGGCTCCTCTGGGATAAAGATGCTGTCGTGGGAGAGAGCTCGAGATCCGATGGGATTTAGGTCCCTGCAGAAGATTGAGAGCGTTCTCAGAGGTGCGCCACAGTTCGTTTTTACTCCAGCTCTTCCATCGGCACGTTACAAATCACTTCACTTTACCGTTCACAGTGCAAAGTCTCACTCTAAACTTCACTTTCAAATGACAGAGTTGTCTTCAGAGATGACACAGCAATTTGAATGGAGGTTATGACTTGTTGAATCACTTCCTTGTTATAAAATGATCAATGCACCTACCTCAGATTTTTACTGGACTCCTCATTGTCAGACACAGCTCCACTGCACACTTCCCCGGTTGAAAAACTTGCTTTTAGCTCTGCTCCATCAAAGCTCCTTTTAGTTTCCCGTTTCTTCTTCTTCCCGAAGAGCCGTTTGAACGGCTGGAATTTGCCCTGCCGTCTTCTCTCTGCCGGGTGGGGAGAAAAAGAAAGTAGACGATAATCACAGCTCCATGCAATCACATCAATCCTTTTTTTTTTTTTTATCACGCCTTTTTGCGAAGATAACGAGCAGGATGATGCCCGAGGGCGTGTTTTTTTAACATGCGACTCTGAGCAGATAACGAAATGCGAGCGACACTGCTGAAATAAAATGACTGAAAATAGCAGATAAGATGATAAGCGAGGTGACAAGTGAAGAAGAAAACCTTGGGCTCCAGTTGGAGGGAATGGGAAAGATAAATCTCAAGCCTTAAAAGCAGGAAAAGAAATGGTAGTGGGGGGAAAAAAATCCCTGGTTTAATGGAAATGAACAAAAACAAAAAACCAGAGGCAGAAAACAGCAACAAGTCAGGGAGACAAACACCCAGTGATTCACAGAGCTCCAAGAGTCAGTGCCAAAAGTTTGACTTATGTTGCATTTTGACCTGCATTCAAGTGTTTTCACATCACAGTTTGGAAGTAATCTCTTCATGTGTCAGATTAGAAGAAGAGCATGCATCAACATGTGACATATCCAGTGAGAGAAAGCAGCTGTAAAACTTTTTTTTTTATTGGCGGTTCATGAGGAAGTCTTAAACCAACCAAGAAATTAACTTTGGACTCTCAGCTAAAGCTAGAACTTCACATCTGTCAAAGCAAAAAGAGAAAATCCACTGGCGTTTCATTCAAGCTCGCATCAGTTTCAACAAATATGACTCAGATCCTCCTAAATCCCCTTTGTGTTTTGCTTTTTCTCGGCGTCTGTGTACTTGTAAGGATGCACCCTGTGAAGTAAGTGGGTGAGGTTACAGAGCTGCGAAGCCACTCTACACCGCTGCACAGACAGGCGTTCTCAGGCTCTGTGGGTATCCCTTTCAGAGCTAAAAGTAGCAACTGGTGTGGGATTTCACTGCACATCCCGCTCACTGAGCCCGAGGCATGATGGGAAGTGATACAGTAAACTAATTTCTCCTCTTAGATCTTTTGACCCTAAACTTTATCTTTTCTGTGGGAAGAAAAACAGACAGGCATCTGCACTGCATTGTGGATTTTAACACATATATATTTATAGGAATATGGGAATCGTGAGCTAGATTTGCACTCGTTTCCAGTTATTAAAAAAATTGCTTGATGCAATGATTTGTGATTTTGTTTGCAGGTTTAAGTTTCCTCAGTGATTAAAACCATTTTTGTGCCCAAATGCTTCATATAAAGCAGAAGTTGTAGTTGGATGGCTAAATTTAAGCAAGTCTCTGAAAAGGCCAACACTCCTGACAGCTAGCTTGGTTTGTTTAGTTAGCTAAAAACATTTTGCTATAAAAAAAAGGAAATTAAAACCCTTTTCAGTTTGCTAATCTAAAAAGGGTTATTAAATGTCCCTCTGCACCTGAAGCTGAAATAATTTTTGATTGTGAACTCCACTTAGCATTTTGTGATAGAAAATGCTAGTTTGTTAATGAAGAAAGTGTGTGCTATATATTTATTTATTACATATTTATGTAATAATATATTTAATATATTTCTTCTGTCACATCCCATAAAACAGACAATAAACTCAGTGTTACGATTTCAGAGGGGAACTGTGTAGTTTTTACGCATTTACAGAAATAGCCAACTACATGACAGAAAACATGACTGGCTTTTTTGTGTTATGACTAACATGAAGGGATTGTTTTTTTTCCCAGGCGGCAGACCTATCCACAGAGCTGGAGGGGTCACTGATGTTTTCATCTTGGATCTTTGTTCTTATCTGCATTAGTGAGAAAATGGATGGTGTGGCTTAGCGGTCCGTGATACCAACCGATACCAAGGTGCAGCGCTGATGTTCTGCTTCCCTGCAGCATGTTCTCCCATCATCTCTGCCCATCCAGTGGCACAAAGCCCATAATGCACTGCCACGGGCACGCTCAAACGCTCATGCATGAAATAAGACAGGACACTCTTTTTCTTTTCTTCCCTTTTCTGCAGAGTAGACAACGCAGCAGTCGGATCCCACAGAGCTCCAGCCCAACCCAATTCGAAGACCGACTCTTTCTCTCTGTAAACTCGCAGTGAAGTGCATTTTGTCTAGACGTCTTCACTTTAGACCCTTTCTGGGTTTTACAACTCAACCCACTGATGAAGGATTATTTACTATCCGGTTAGGGGATTGTCATTTAATCCACTTTCAATATAAAGACATAAATTTTAGTTGACGTAAACTAAGATATCCGCAGGTAAAACGCTGAATTTAACCTACACATTTGAACTGGAGGACTAACAAATAATGTTAAATAAAATGTAAAGAAAGATTTGCTAACATATATGCAGTAGAATTGTTATGGACAGACATTTAAGTAAATTTTATTTGGGAAACCAAGTTTTTTCATCAAAATAAGCAGCATTAACCAAACATAAGCAATTTAAAAGTGATGATTAGGGAATTTAAAACCAAGCAGAAAATATGTAAAATGCATAACAGTTAGACATTTTTGTAAAGTTATCTTTTTAATGTGAGGTACTCCAAGTAAAACAATATGATTAAAACTTCTTTACGTACTCAGAACTACTTTTACATTGAATAGTTACAACAGTCCAGGCTGTGAACTGTAACAAACTGTATTCCTAAAGTCACAACACTGCTGACTTTATGAATACAGGCAAATTTTTAACTTTAAACTAGATCATAAAAATCAGACGCACACATGCATGGACTGATGAGGGGTTATGAACTGATATAATCGATATTAATGTTTGCATCACGCATTGTGAGGGTACCGAGGAAACGCTTCCCAGTTGTAGTAACTTGCAGGGGTTTTGGCTGAAATCACATTCAAACTGCAACTCTGGTCTTTGTACATCTAGACCACATATGGTTAAGATTTTTTAAGGATTATTTTCTATAAATGCCATTTCTGAAATAAAAAGTACCTTTTATTTTGTAGTGAACAAACAACCAGCATGTAAAACACAGATTAATGTTATTTATCTTAGGAATTTCTTCTGTTCTATTTGGTCTTTTGCACCAAAGTAGCTTTCTGATTAAAAGCCAACTTTATTTCTAATCTTCAGTCATTTTTCCAACACGGGCCAAGACTTCAAATCAACATATTAATCATCTTACAAGAATCGAAGAAAGGCAGGAAGAAAACTTAGCAGAAATTTGAACACAGCACACAAGTCTCGTCTAAAACGTCAAACCCGTCACCACACCATGCAGCCCTTAAAGAGACAGTGAGCCAAACTGGAACTATTTTACACATGAAGCATTTTATGTTGATCATTATCCCAGGATAAGGTCCAGTAGAATCGCATTTCCATCACAGTTTTATTTAAAATCACCTGATATTTCAAATAGTCCAATATTTTATGCACTCTAATAAGTCTCCCAGGGCCTTTAGAAAAGCATAATTTCACATATTCATCCTTTAATTGATTTTGCATGTTTGTTTTTTGTGATTCAGTTTATGTAACTCCACTGTCTCTTTAAAAAGCCCTTAGAAGCACTCTTTAGTTCCCATTTACCTGAGCCTCTGGGTTCGGTTACCTCTAAAAGCACCTCATGGTTATTTTCTGTTGCATCCGTTGCCATGGTAAACTGCACACTTTGACTGTAATGGGAGAAAAAGAAGGTTGAGCATATTGCTGTTATTTACTGCAGAGAGCGAGTACGAGGTTTTAACTGAGGAAAACAATGAGAGCAGAGCGGCACGGGAAAGAGAAAACTGACTGCAGAGAAGCAGACGGAGAAGCTGCAAACCTCCACCAGGTCCTGCATTTCTTTTAATCCTCCGCCGCCTCCAGCATTGTCATTGGAAAAGGTTGGCTATGTTAGCTTGTGCAGAGTGCCTCTTGGTGACTGCGGCCGGATAAAGCCTGTGCTGTTTGCAGTGCAACACGAGCACTCTGAGGCCGCTCTGTTTGCTCACTTCTTTTCAAGTCCGCTCCGGCTTCTTATAAGCATTTCATCCCGATCCAAAATGTTTGTCTTTCCTCACAGCTTTTATGTAATTCTGCAAATCTGAATACATTACAGACTGTTCTTTTTACTTTTTTTGGGTTGTGTTTAAGCGTTTGTTTCAAAAATCAAAGAAACCAAACAAATCTAGAGTTGACTTCTGACTCAGTGATAGAGGAATATTTCACTTCCAAACTCTCCCATAACTGGACTTATTTATCTAACAGATTGTTTTAGTTATTTATAATGATTGACACATTTAAATTTGGAAAGCTTTCAAATAATATTAGCATTTAACCTTGCTGAATCATCAAACCCAGTTTAATATGATCTATTAGACCAAAAACCAATGAGACTGCCTGTTTGGTTTCAAATATCTACAGTGAAAAAGTATTTGTCCCCTTTACAAATTTATAACACTTTTTAGGTCAAATATACATTGAATAAATAAATAAAACATCAGCTTTAGAATAAGAAATTAATGTAAAAAAAAAAAAAAAGAAAAGAAAAAGAGCTGTAAAACTAAATAAAACTAGCCCTGTATGGAACTATAACCGTCTCATATTTAAAATCATAAATTAACTGTGATTAACCATATTCTTCAGATTAATTTCACTACTAATGCCCAGAAAGCTAAAGTCAAAACATTTCCCAAAAAGATCCTCTACTGGCCTTTCTTTAACCGCGGCTGGACAGGAAGAAAAGTAGAGAGAGAAAAAGACATGCAGCAAATGGTCCTGGGAATCGAACCAGGGACACCCATGTTCAGGACTGCAGCCTCTCTGTATGGTGTCCCTGCTCTACCACAAAGCCATTTCTCATTATTTGGGAATTCAGTGAACGACACTGATCAAAAAAACTAAATGATTAAAAGAAAATTTCATGGTGCAAATACTTGTTGACGGCAGTGAAAAGAGGCAAAACCAGCAATTAAGCTTAGGAGTAAATTCCTTTTCTTTTAACTTTGGTTATCTTTGCCTGATATTAAAATATATGAAGTCACAAGTTTCCTTGAGGAAGTCATCAAAACGCGGCACCTCTATTCACCCTTTAACAACGTTTTTAACCAGCGTTCCACTGAGCAGCAGCTCCTATAAAGAGCTCAGCAGATGCATCGTTCCACCAGATGTTTGCTAATTGCTGCTGGCTAGTCTGAAGGAGCTGTGTGGTCACAAGGTCGGCTGCTCTGAAGCCTGTAAACCAAGCCTGTAAATTCAAGGACTTCTCTAATATGCATTAAAGAATCAAAGCAACACTCCAGATATGTTTTTGATGAGTGAATAACAGAATATGTTGTAAAGCTGAAAAATAAAGTCAATTTTACATGATACTGGCCCTTTGAGAACAGAGAACCAACCCCCAAACCGCCACTGCCAAAAACCCATGACAACACAGCCTCCTAATAACCTGCCTTTTCTGTCCCAACACCTGCCTGCACTGCATCACTCAAGCTAGAGGTTTTCTGCTGCACCGCATTGCTCGTCTCCAAGGCAGCTGCATAAAAGCAGACGGCGTGTAAGACAGTACTGAGAGAGCCAGAGAGACGTCTGCCGTCTCCAGCGGGACCAGAACGCAGTGTACTTCCTTCCTGAGGGGGACGGAGACAGACGGACACTCTCAGAAATGTCTCTGCAAAACGACAACAAAAAAAAGGCTCTTTGTCCAGTCAGAGCAGAACAAGGAGCAAACAAGCATGTTTGGTAGTAGGAGTGTATGAACACAGAGCCAGTGTGCAACTGTGTCTGCTGCTGCCAAGAAGGATACTGTTGATTTCCTCCTCCTCCCCCCCTCATTTTATTGTTTGTGTTTTTGGTTCCCCTGTTCTAAATTTGCGTTTGCTGGTGAACTACAGCAGAGGATGGCGATGGGATGAGATAAGCATGTGCTCTTTGACAAATACACACCTTGCATCACAGCGTGGCAGTAGCGTAAACACAGTGCAGCATCCTACAAACAACCCAGCACCACAACATCCCTTAACCCACACAGCCACTGGAGTCCCGACGGTGCTGGTTGTGTGTTGCAGCAGCAAAGAGTCACAACCTTACAACACGAGCAGCTTGCTGACGAAGCAGACAGACGAACGCAGCGGCGCCTTGGAAACCGTTTTACCTATTTTGGCAGCACAGCTTGAGACGGCCGTGCACCACTGCAGCAAAACCCGGGGGAACATCGATCTGCTCTTTATCACAAAGCTCGTTTTACCCAGATGAATGTCGCTGCCGTCTCCATCGAGGCCTCGGGGTGCAAGGGGGGAAGAAAATGAGGGAATGAATAAAGAAACAGAGGCAGAATAGCAGGTTTGGGTTGTAGGAATGTGCAGTAGAGGTGAGGAACATGAAAACGGCACGAAAGGTGACTGAAAGGCGGGGGAGGAGGATGATGAAGAAGAAGCAGCTCTTCCAAACAGATGCCCACAATGTTCTTGGCAGCGCTGATAAAGACTCTCTATACTGCCAAAAGTAATCACTCATCTGGTTACAGAGTGTGTTTGTGGACTTTTTTGTACTATTCTTCCAGGGATTCATTTATTTTTCTCAAATTTCTGACTAATCTGAGAAAAAAAAAGTCTGAATTCTGAGATTAAAATCAGAATTATTTCTTTGTCAGTGGCCCTAATCCTATTCCGTACATTTGTGAGGTCAGACACTGGTGTTGGATGAGAAAGCCTGGCTCACACTCACCCTTGTAATTAAAAAAAATAATTGTCTGTATATCCTTGCCAACAGGACAGTATTTGCCATATGCAGAGAGAGGGAACATGTCTTCTGCATCCAGAGCTATGGATTCTTCTCTTTTGCTCACCTCATGGGATTTATAAAGGACTTATACTTCAGTCAACAAGTCTAAAGTCTTTATAATTTTATACATGTGGTTTGGCTCATAATCTTTAGGAAAGACGCACTAATAACCCATTTTCAGTTTTCTGACAAAAGACTAAAAATGGGTCCCAATATTTGAAAAAGTTCACGATGCCATCCAATCTAACAAAGTTCTCAAGGCTTTTGGTAGAGAAACCGGGCCCTAGCATCACATGCTCTTCTCCATATTTGGTGGTGCCTTTCTATATATGCATCCAAATCACAAGTTATGAGTTTCACATCTTAACAAAATTACATGTTTAGAACTGTGACAATAGGACAGAAAGGGTTACTTCCTAGCATCCCTCTCAAGCTAATGAATAGCATTTAGATAGTATCCAATGGTTGTCATGGAGACCTGTTGACTAAATGATACCAATCTTTGCTGAAGTTCTCTAATTCAACTCTCTAATGAGTGTTGGAGAGTTTTGTTTTAACTTCCTCCAAGCTGCCATATCAGCTTTCTTACTATGCATAGTCAGAAGATCCTCATCCAGCCAAGCAGAAGGAAGATAAAACACGTGATATATTTATACTGAAGGGAAACAGAAAGTCAAGGATTAATACATTTAATAGACGCATCATCTTTAAAAAGTAATGCATAAATTATTAACTAGGAACAACTAAGGAACTATTTTGGATGAACAGAACCAATAATTGTGCTACACTGCTGGTACATTTTGAGGTGGTGATTCCAATAAACTTAATCTGCAAAAAGAAAACATTTTAAAGATCCCATTTAGGATCTAGAGTCACTTCAGGACCTCGTTTTGTGTTTTTATCTCGTTCTTCATTGTTCTCTGATGAGTGTTTTCACAGCAACTAGGCCGAGACTGGACAGACACAACGCTTAAACCGACGCACACAGCAAACGTTTGTTTGGACCCAACCAACAGTTGGGTTTCTGACGGTTCACACCACCCAAGCTCCAGGTGCTTACAATGCAGTGCAGTTAGCAGCGGCTGCACAGTGAAAACCAGGCTCCATGTAAATGCACTTGACATTTACGTAAGTGCTGGATAAGTCTAAACGTGGAAAATAAACATCGGTGCTTTGCTGTGATTAATCGCCATCTGCTCGGTCCGTAACCAAACAGAAACTGTGAGTTCTTTGCAGTAATGGTTTCAGACAAGCTGCTACTGAAGATCCAAAATCCTCGGGCAGAAATTAAGTTCTCCCTTTTTTTTTTCTTTCCTTTTTTAAAAAAAAAACATCTTTGTTTTTGCTTTGTAGTTTTCTGTTTGTTCCTTTAGGTCTGGTTGACATATACAGACAGAAATATGTCCCAGTATGGTACCTTCTGCACAAGTGAGTGTGCAAGGACTACAATTTCACTACAAAAAAAAAAAAGAGAGAACTAAATGTACCATTTCAAAGCAAGATAATTTACAGGCTATAAATTTTTCAATTTCATCCCTTGAAATTGAAAAAAAATGGAAAAAACTTATTTTTTTTGCAAATTCATTCACATATAGGGAATCCCACATCAAAACTTCAATTTCTTTTGTATATTAGCAATCCTGCTTGAATGCAAAAGTCTTAATCCATATCTAAAAATCACATCTAATAGATACAAACTAACCAAGATTGTTTTTAATTTCTGATTTTATGTAAAACTTAACTCAATGTAGTCTACCAACAAAATGAATAGTGAAATCAAGAAAACTGATCTCTCTCCATCGTCTCCATCCCTTTACTTATGTTTCATGAATTGATTTTAAGGAGTCATGTTTTGATTTTGTCAGCAGTACGGTTTAATTCTTCAGGTCTTTGTCATTTCTTATGTGAAATATGTAAAGGTCTCTTCTGAGAGAAAACGTACAAAAAAGGAACACCTGCTCTCTAACTTGCAAATGTTAAATTCCGCCTAAACGTTGACACATTACATTTTATCACATTACAATCTCAAAACTTTGACGGATTCACGTGAAAGACTAACACAAAGTGGTGCAGAAGTGAGATGTTCAAAGTTTGGGAAATATTTTCAGAACCCAATCAGGCTTTAAACTTCTCCACCATCGTTCTGATCCTGCCCTGCTCTCAGGTCACATGATGTTGTTTATTCACATGTACATATATGCTGAAACTAAATTACACACAGATTATTTGATTGCTATGGGATTTCCAGGATTTTATTTAGGGATTTAACAGCAAATGCAGAATACAATGTAAATGACACTTTTTTTGGAATTTTATTTTTACACAAGTATAATTTTTATGCCACCGTTTATGTACTACGTCTATGTCTGTTACATAAAATCCAAATAAAATACTCCTCAGTTTGTGGTATTAACAACAGACAGCATGAAAAAAGTTTAAGGAGTATGAATAATTTTACATGGTTACTCCATCTGTGCACACATCAATGAATATTAGTAACTCCAAAAGTGATTATGGGGCTGTTAAATGCTAGGATTAATGGAAATAGCTATGAAATGATCAAAGTCAAAGTCTGGTCCAGCAGATGAAAAGCAGATGCCCGATTAGCCTCACCAGCTACCAAACCAAGCAAAACATTGTGAACAAAAAAAACATTTAGATCAGACAAGCTGGACGCAAAACTAATCAAAGATATAGTATTGATCATCAGCAGAGATCCAATATGGTGAATTAAGAGGAAACAATGGATTTGGGTGTCAAATGCAACCTGCATCACATGACCATCGTTATATTTTCCACTGCAGCTGACAGCCAAGTGACAATGTCTAAGCATGACGACAGAAAAAAAACCTCCACAAGGCACAGAAGAAAACCCCGTCACTTTTGACATTCACTCGGTGCAAACGGAATAAAAAAGTAGTTCGGAATAATTTAACTTAAATAAACAAACGTGTGCAAAAGTAGCTGCTAAAATATTAGTTTTCCTTTTCTCTTGCCAGTTAATTTAACCCGCAATTTAGCTGAACCAACAACCTACAGAGCTCACTGAGATCTAAAGAAGAGCTCCTTCTTACCGGTCTGCTGTGTTTGAGGGCATCTGTGAGAATGTGTGGTCGTTCCACCTGCCTGCTGTCACTGTGGATCTAGGCCATTACCTGGAGTCAGGTGTCAGAGGCAGTAGGAACTCACTTGTCTGTGTGTTTTTCTGTGTGTGTGTGTGTGTATATTTTAGAACAACCCTGCAAATACCTCTGAATATTTTCCTATCTATATGGATTTGAGTGCATAGTTACATCAACTCACATGAGTGAGTTGATGTAACCATGAGGAGTTACATCAACTCCTCATAGTTACCTCACATGTGCACATGTGCAGTCTTAGGGGGAGGAGGTGTGTCTGCTGAGGATGGGGCAGAGCTGACTGAGGAGAGAGAGAGGGGACAAGAGAGAGAGAGGGGCGTCCTCAGTGTTTGTTAGTGCCGCTTTGCTGAGGAGGCACAAAGTGACACTTTGTTCCCCCCCCCATCAGAAGCCCTGTGCAGGAGAACAGAGTGGCATTCATCACTTCTACTGACTGATGCGCACAAAGCCTTGCATTGTGGCTCCACAGCAATATGCACGTGTGATTAGAATGGTTTTGAGCACAAAAAGCCACAGCTGCTTAACGGGCATTATGGCCACAAATGTCCAGTATATTAAAAGTCTGCCATGCTCTGGCTTTCAGAGCCTGCCCTCTAGCTGCGGTAAACGAGCACAGTCTGGCAGTAAAAGCAAACATTGCAATGTATTTCAATAGCAAACAACAACTTCATGCCTCAGCAGCACATAGCTAAACAAAATCCTCAGTACAATACAGAGCTACGTTTAATCAGAATCAGAATGGCTGTGAGGACGACGGCTACTCCCCTCGCTCGCCCCGTTCTCCAGTTTTGGCAGGATCACACTGTAGCCTCACAGGGATATGGTAATGATGGAGCTTTACCGCCCTGACTGCTGCCTATATTAGAGCTGCACAGCACTTCAAAGACAGACGGTTCTCTGACTGACAATGTGCAGGAATAGAAACACCAAGCGAAGCAGCGCAAACATGCCCTCGCACCAGTTAGTCACAGGTTTTCACACACGCACAGCCAACGGAGGCTCTTAACGACCGGTGCTTAAGTGAATAAAAAGCCAGGGACACACACACACACACACTCAGCTAAGCTAAGCGACAGTGTGGCGGCTAGACTTGACATGCAGTGAAGCAACCATTCAGAGTTTAATTAAGCATTTTATACGATGGACCACGCTAAGAAATTAAAAAATTACGGGAATGAAGTCATAAAATTATGAGGAGTCGTGAAATTATAAGAATACAGTTGTACGAGAATAAAGTCGAAATATTACTTTAATTTTATTATTACAACTTTATTGTGGAGGTGCACTAATATGAAATCTTGGGCTAATATCAGCATCCGATATTAATATTGCTGTTCTGGCTGATAACCGGTATTTACCGATATTATATATATTTCACTATATTGTCACTATATTTTGACACTTTTGGGAAATAAAACAAAACAACCGGTAACAGAAAGCAACCAAATGAAAATAAATATTGGTTGTTCATATTGGCCCAATATGCTAAGAAATTACTAATATCCGCCGATAGGACTTTGGCTACAGTTTGGCGGCGCACACCGCTTTCCGGATTGAATTGTGTCCGTCACGGCATCAGAAGTCTGCCCCACGCTGTTATAATCATCACGAGGGCCGACTATCCCAACGCATCCAGCGCACGCCATGGGAACGTGCTTAACTCGAATCGCCCTACGTCCAGTGGTGGGAAGTAACGAAGTACAAGTACTTCGTTACTGTACTTAAGTA